AGGTGCAAAACAGGGCTACCAAGTCGAATCATTTATTTAATTTCATATCATCATCATCATCAGCCTATAAATGCATACTGCTAAGCGAAGGCCTCTTCTCACAAGGAGAAGGTTTAAGCATTAATCATCACGCTTGCTCAGATCATATTGGCGATTTCAAACTTATAATTCGAATATTCGACTGCACGGTTGATGCGGTGGCTTGGTAACTGGCTGCCGTGAAAAGTGTCGCGGGTTCGATTCCCGCACGGAACAACTCTTTGTCTGATCCACAAATTGTTGTTCCGGGTCTGGGTGGCTTGTGTATGTGAAATTGCATGTTTGTTACCGCACCCACGACACATGAGAAAGTCATACTGTGCGGCAACGTTATTTAAAAATAAAAAAAGATATAAGTCCATGTTTGCTCAGTCGGGGTTACGGGGTAAGTGCATTGAGGCACCGCGACGTCGGCCCAGAGCAAGAGAAGGAACGGGGTTTTTAGTCAGTAAAAGTCTGACACTTCCGGGCGGAAGGAAGTGTGCCTTGGGCGGGAGAAGTCATTTGATGATTTTCCCCTCACAAAAAAAACCTACTTGAAAAGAGTCACATTGATACTTACACCCACACACCATAATCTCTAGGTCACCTCGACAGATGGACATGGCTTTATATTTTAACACATAAATAAATAGTTAGTTATTTAAGTAAACGTATATAAACTTAGTTCACTTAGAAACCCAGCTCGACAGAGCGTTAAGCCGTAACGAACTGCTACATGATACATTGATACCTCCTTTGCTTGCAAGTCGGTCAAGGAAGTCTACCATCTAAAGATGAGGTGTGCAATATTGAATTTAATACTACTGAGTATGTTTTCGAATTTGGCGGATATCCGATTCCAGTCTTGAGTTGAACTTAAAATCTCTGATCTCAGATAAACATTGACAATGTAATCCTTAGGTTTTATTACTGGTTTTGGGCTACTGTTTCTTATCGTGCGTTTTATCTGTACTTATAGATAACAGAAAACGGTAGACAAAGGCGTTTGAAATTTTATTTTGTTTAACGACTTTCTCACGTAAGTGTTTGACAGGGAACTTGTTCTAGTCAAGACATGCTTTGGCTCGACCGGATTGATACCACGGCCTCACAGAAAATCGGCGTGAAACAACCACAGCGTTGTGTTTCGCCGTGTGAGTGAGGTTACCGGAGGCCCAATCCTTCCTTTCCCCAAGCCTTAAATGTCCAAATGCTTTATCCCCTAAAGTCCTGAAACCTGTACATGGGCGGCGCTAATTGCTTACCATCAGGTAACCCGTCAGCGAGTTTGCCGATCTATGCCTTTAAAAAATTTAAAAATTCTATTCATATTCATATGTAGCATTGCGCGAGACACGATGAGCGAAATTTTTTGTCTATACTTCTATAATAATATTATAAAGAGGTTTGTAATTTTATAAGTTTGTATGGAGGGGGGTAATCTTTGGAACCGCTGGTCGGATTGCCAAAATTCTTTCACTGATAGATAGCTACAATGTTCCAGAGTGCTATAGGCTATAAAACATCATGCTACGACTAAATGGAGCCGAACAGCGGGTGAAACCGCGCGAGAGTAGCTAGATTAAATTTATTTATGCCTACCAATGTCTTACAGGAAAACTATAAAACAACGCATTAGTTGTGTGTCACTCCTCCCTATCCTCAAATCCCTAATACTCAAAAGGCAGGCAACAACTTGTAACTCCTTTCGCAGATTGCTTACCATCAGGGGACACGAAAGCCCCACGACCCAAAAAAAATAAAGTACACCTCTGCTCTGTTGGCAAGAATTTGACTTGTCGACCAACGAGACGTTTTACATAGAAATATAATTTACTAGCTACTCTCGCGCGGTTTCACCCGCTGCTCGGCTCCATTTAATCGTAGCGTGATGTTTTATAGCACTCAGGAACATTGTAGCTATCTATCAGTGAAAGAATTTTGTAAATCGACCAGTGGTTCCAAAGATTACCCCCTACATACAACTTCATTATATTAGTATAGATAAGGCGACCCGCCCCGGCTTCGCACGGGTTAATACTGATACTAAATTTCTCCACTATTGAATGGATGTTACGCACTACGAGAAGTTAAAAAAACTACCGACATACAAACCGCCCTCACCACTTACTACTCCTACGCATACTCATGGCTCAGCTACGGCATTATTATGTGGGGTAACAGTACTGATGCCCATACACTATTCATTCTTCAAAAGAAATTAATTCGTATAATAGTTAATTTACAGCAAGCCGATAGCTGCAAACCAGTTTACATAAAATATAAAATATTAACATTACCATCTATTTATATCTTAGAAATATGTAAATTTGTAAGAAAAAATACAAACTTTTTCACAACCCGTGGAAATAAACATAGAGATAGGCCAGTAAGACACAAAAACATGCTAATGCACCCCTCTTCACACATGACACTTCACAGCAATAGCCCTTATGTAATGTCCATTAAATTATTTAACAAATTACCAGATTCTTTAAAAAATGAAACTAACGAAACTAAGTTCATAAGCGCACTCAAGAATATCCTCATCAACAAAGCCTACTACTCAATTGATGAATATATAAATGATAACAACATTGTCCATATACAACATAACGCATAACAACAAGCACATTACCATGATACATTTATTGAATTTTCATATATATATATATATATTTTAATTTTTTTAATGTATATTTTAATTGTTTTAATTTTAGATGTAAGTTTTATTTTGCTGTGCCCTACAGGGTCCACGATTGTACTTAGCTCTAAGCCATTCTGTAACACCTCTTATACATTGTGGAATGCAAATAAATATGAATATGAATATGAATATGATGTTTTTATACATATAAACCTTCTTTATCAATCACTCTATCTATTAAAAAAACCGCATCAAACCCCGTTGCGTAGTTTTAAAGATTTAAGCCTACATAGGGATATAGGGACAGAGAAAGCGACTTTGTTTTATACTATGTAGTAAAGTACGCAAATATAACTTTTAAAACAAAGACTCAAAGTTGTTATTTCCGCCTTTTTTCATTAACATAATGATTTCACCAACCAGTTTTTGATACACGCGCTTACAAATAGTTCAAGTTGTTCAGCAGCCGGCATGGTTACCTTGAGTTTCGCCGTCTCGACGCTCTAGGCGATTCCCGCGATAATAAACCTAGAAGTTGAAATAATTTTCCTAAATTCCGAATCCCTAGAAACCGGTTGATCATATATACTGATGATGTCTACCTCACGCTCCATCCGCCTTTTTAGGAGACACACAGATGGGTCCCATAGGGCTGATGTTAAGTCGGGGTTGTGAGTAATACGGTTTAAGGTACCGTGGCCCCTGGAACAGGAGAAGGAACGGGCCGGTTTTTAGTCAGTAAGAATCTGACGATCGCGAGTGTCCATGGGCGACGCTGATTGCTTACCATCAGGTAATCCGTCTGTTCGTTTGCCGACCTATCACATAAAAAATAATCCCTGAAGTCATCTGAATTATTTTTCCCACTAAAAAGCCCTTATTCTGATTGTAAGCATTCAGCACTGCCCGTGGACATGGCACAAAAACCGCCCTTTTGGGGATTAGGGTTTTTAATTTAGGGATTGGGTGAGGGAAAGCAATGGGCCTTCGGTAACCGCACTCACACGGCGAAACCATCGCTATGTTTGTTTCACGCCAGTTTTCTTTGAACCGGCCGAACAGTCCTCAGGCTAGGCTATTAAAACTGTGGAATATGTTGTTAGTTCCATTATTATAAATTAGCGACCCGACCCGACTTCGTACGAATGCAATGCTGATACTAAATGTCTCCACTGTTTAATGGATGTTAGTCAACATATAAACCTTCCTCTTCAATCACTCTATCTATTAAAACAACCGCATCAAAATCCGTTGCGTAGTTTTAAAGATGAAGCACACATAGGGATATAGGGACAAAGAACGCGACTTTGTTTTATACTATGTAGCGATATTGGTTAGCATAGTAACATACATTTATATTCAAATATAAATACCTGATCAAACCGGTTTTCGTATCATACATTTTTTGTTTAACCGAACACTGATGTAACCAGAAACCGGTTATAAAAACATGAAAACCGTCTAGTTTTTATAATGAATGACTAATGACCTACTTTTTTATCGAGTTTTGTTTCGATTTTCAATGCCTAAGTAGTAAGATTTATCACGAATTTTAACTGTTGTCCGTTTGGGTCTGAATCGAAATTGAATTTTAAGTTCATAGATTGGTTTTAATTAGTCTAGCCATTTCTAATATAAGACGGAACAAACAGACAGACAAAAATGGTATAAAGAGATAATTACTTGTAATATATCCTAAGTTTAATAAATGAATACAGAATATACACAGCAACCAGGCAAAACGAAACATGTGCGGCACTAAATATTCTAACACAAAGATGCGCATTGTAGAAAAAAAAACTAGAACAATACTCAATACTCAATCATTTATTGCATTCCACAATGTGTTTCTTAGGTGGTAAATTATAAATTATGAGTTTATTATACAAAAATCAAAATAGATAAATGTGTGGAAGAGCAATACTTGAATTAATTGTTCAATCACACGATCTTCATTCGTTTTGTATTGTATTAAAATCCAGTCACTCGTCACTCATAAAAATAAATAAAGTGTATGAGGTCCATGCTTCGGCACGAATGGGTCGGCTCGATCGGAGTAATACCACGGTCTCACAGAAAATAATCGGGAAACAAGCACAGCGTTATGTTACCTCAATCTCCCAAACCCTCAACTAAAAAGTTCAGCAACGCACTCGTAATTCCTACATTCTTGCGGGTGTCCATGGGCGGTGCTAGTTGCTTACCATCAGGCTCAAGCTCGTTTGCAGACCTGTCACAAAAAACATATCTACTCATATTATTATGATGTTTTCTTCCCCTCTTTCATATGGTAATGTTTCGATACTAATTTCTATTAATTTATTGGTTCCAGGTGTAGGCAAAACCAGCCTCGTGGTCCGATATATAGGCAAGATGTTCTCCAAGCACATATCGCCAACGATAGGAGCATCATTCTTCACATGTAACATCAATTTGGATAATGCTAGAGTTAAATTACAGGTAAATTATCAAGTATAAATTAAAAATAAAAAAACCGCCACAAAAAACATAAGCTACCTTTAAAAAGTATATAAGTAATACAAAAAAAACTTAATTGAAATCGTTTCATCCGTTCATGAGCTATGATGCCACAGACACACAGACAGACACGTCAAACTTAATAAATTTTGTTTTTTGTGACGTACAAGTCATAACCTTTGATACCCCACTTGATCATATTTACAGACGTTCGGTTTTTCTTCTCCATTTTAACCCCCCATAACTTTTAAAAGGCTCAATCGATTTTCCTCCAACATGTCTGAGGACATTTGCCCGTACGCCCGTGCAACTATCAAAAATAAAGAAGGAATGATCAAATGGCTTATCCCGCCCTGGTTGAAAAGAGAGGGAGTGTCAGACTCTTACTGACTAAAAACCCCCCGTCCCTTCTCCTACTCGAGGCCACGGTAGATAATTGCGTTTGTCTGTCAATCAGCCCTATTGGGACGCCGGGGTTGCGGGGTAAGCGCAATGAGGTACCGCGACCTCGGCACAGAGCAGGAGAAGGAACAGGGGGGTTTTAGTCAGTAAGAGTCTGACACTCCCTCCTGCCCGACCCTGGGCGGGAGAAGTCATTTGATGATTTTCCCCTCACAAAAAAAAGCCCTATTGGGACCCCTCCTTTGAGCCGTACGCTCTGGTTTGTCTCTGGTCGGGCTGTGAGCTACCTTGGTCGCCGTCAGCAGACCCGTGCTTTCATTGGCCCAAGTAGCTAAACATATGCATCTGTAAAAAAATGGGTTTTATAAAGCCCTGACCATCGGAAAAGGCAACTTTGCGTTTCTCGCCAAGTATAGATTTGGTCCATCAATATCTTTTATTTTATTTTAACGAGTATGTATGTACTTAAACTCGGCGAGTTAATTTAGCTGTTTCTTATCAGAGGTCGTCAAAACACGCTATAAGCGGCGAAAAGATTACCTTTATTATGAATAAAAAATTGTGTCACGCGTCATAATTTATTCATATGATGCTTTCATTGATAACTTCCGAAATAAAACGGTTTTATATATTATGTATACTAGCTACTCTCGCGCGATTTCACCCGCAGCTCAGCTCCATTTGATCGTAGCGTGATGTTTTTAGCCTATAGCACTCAGGTACATTGTAGCTATCTATCAGTGAAAGAATTTTGGCAATCCAACCAGCGGTTCCAAAGATTACCCCCTACATACAAACTTACAAATTTTACCTCTTTATAATATTTGTATAGTCTCTTGCTAGACCGTACACTATTTTAGATGATAGTGGAAAGGAATAAAAGAAAGTTAAGTACTGAAAACTTTTGTATTGACCAAAATGTACTAGAAGGTAAAAATGAGCTTAATGGAGTGTGCGGAAATGATGAGTGACGTAGCCCTTGTCGGCTGTAATGAGAACGCTTAGCTAACTTGGTGGCTCAACGCGAACTGAACATATTTATAATGAATTGTAATCTAAGTGGCGTAAAATGCTGATGTGCGGTTGCACCGTACAATATTAGTATAGATAACTTTATTTTCTTATAAAAAGACGTTGCTGTACACTTCATTTTTTACCTATACCGTAGGATTATTTTTTATTTAAAAACATACAATTTCTCATACACATCACACCTAGACCCCGAACAACAATTTGTGAATCACACAAAGGGTTCTTCCGTTTGGGAATTGAAAGTGTAACGTTTCACGGCAGCCGATAGCATAGCCATCGTGTCAATTTTGCAGTCAACATAATAGTAATTAAGATGTCAATGCTTTTTGCCTACCACCAGGTCAGCAATCGCCGTCGCCGCAGTACAATACCAAAAGAGCTACTACAAGTGCATTGCCGACCTCTTGTGGGTTATTTATTAGGGATTTAAGAATAGGGAATTTGAGGATTGTGCCTCCTGTTAACCTCACTTACATGGCGAAACACAACGCTGTGGTTGTTCCAAGCCGGTTTTCTGTGAAGCCGTGGTATCACTCCGGTCAAGCTGACCCATTCGTGCCGAAGCATGGCTCTCTCACACACTAAAAACAACAGTAATATTATGTCACACAGATACGCCGAGTTCATTGAAGTGTAAAATACTTGGTATTAGCAATCAAGTGTTTAACGAGCTTATCGGATTGTTCATACTTAAGGGACGCACTGATAGTGAAATGTTTTCGTATACTATATGTTTTGAAGATATAAAAACTACTGTAGATATGACAAACCTCAACCCTTAAAACAGTGATCTCTAACCCGCCTGCTACGAATTATATATCCGTCCAAATATAACTTAGATGTCTTCAAGGCTAGAATGAATAGGCTCTTAATAAACTAGTACGCCTTACCATCAACGATTGCATCACTGCTTACCATCAGGTGGGATCGAAGTCAAGCACTAGTCAAGAAAAAATACGAGCGGAATATATGGAAAGGTTTATCAAAGACCGTTGATGTTTTTTTGGTGTTTTTATGTGATAGGACGGAAAACAGCAGACCTGATGGTAAGCAATCGGAAGCATGGATACCTACAACAAGTCTTTTGGGAATTGTGGTTCAGAGATTTGGTGATTGGGAGAGGTTGTCTCCGGTACCCTCACTCATACGACGAAACACTTTTTTTGTGAGGGGAAAATCATGCAATTTGAGTGTCAGACTCTTACTGCTCTGGTCCGAGGTCACGGTGCCTCATTGCGCTTACCCCGCAACCCGGCCTCTAGGGGTTTATGGATAGGGGATTTGAAAATTGAGAATGGGGGGAAGGATTAGGTCTATTAATAATCAAGAACAAAATGTAAGGTTCTTCATCCTCCATTGAAAAGGGAGGATCCTTCGAGCAGACGGGTGTTATGTCCTATGGGCTACTGCCCGACGGTTGTTGTCGGGATCTTGTACTAGTTCTAAGGGCGTGGAGAACTCTTATACCGCGATGTAGAATCTTTATCGTGATGGGTGCTGTTGCTGCGCGTGTTCTGCGATAGATGTCGCTACATAACTTTTTTTTACGTAATTGGTCGGCAAACGATCAGGCGGATTACCTGATGGTAAGCAATCAGCGCCGCCCATAGACACCCGACACGGAGGAGTTGCGAGTGCGTTGCCGACCTTTTAGGGATTAGGGATTTGGAGAATTAGGGATTGAGGAGGGATTGGGGGCGGGGAAGGATTGGGCCTACTATATACTATGGAACTATATCAATCCCAACTTGATTCCAGGTATGGGACACAGCTGGCCAAGAAAGGTTCAGATCCATGGCCCCCATGTACTACAGGAACGCGAATGCAGCTCTGCTAGTCTTTGATATAACTAGTGTGAACAGCTTCGCAGCTATTAAAGGATGGGTCAAGGAGTTACAAAGGTAAGGCATTTTAATTCAACTAACCCAAGCAAACGCGTTCGTGGACCTATTCTCTTACAATTGTGTCACGAATTACAACGATTGAAATGGTAATGCAAACCAGCATATGAACTACTGATGGTAAGCAAACGGCGCTTCCCATGGACCGTATAACACCAGAGGTTAGAACTGCAAAAAAAGTCAGAATCGTTTATTTCGATTTTGTCCTCGTAGCCACAAACCTTAAAAATAAAAATTGTCAGTCTGTCAGTCAGTCTTCTTAGTGAAGCTATTTGCTCGTTCCAAAGTGTAGATTCCGATGGAGAAGAACGAGCAAGAAACTCCATGGTTACTCTTTTTCCACCAGTTTCACATACAGATTCTTTGGTACATTATGAAGTTCGTTCGAATTATGCGTTACCAGGCTTTTGAGAGTTCGGAATAAGGGTGAAAGCGAACAAGGCCTTTGGTATGGTCGTGGCCGTGAGTGGCTCTGCCTAATGTGCCCCACCTGTAGACATCTGATGGCTCATTAAGGCGCACGGGGTTGCCAGGTCGCTAGGCCTTATAGCCGGACAGACCAGCCCGTTTAGCCGGACACCCTACATTCTTAAGGATTTTGTATCTCAGTATTAATAGGTACGACAAGATCTAATGTAAATCAAGCATTTTTGATTATTATCATAAATCTTGTTGAATACTTATGAAATAATTAATAAGTTTGCTTCGCTCCAGCCATGTTTGGTGTTTCGTTTCACTACCTAACAAAAGCCGGACAGGCCGGACACCGTTTATTTTGACCGGACTAGCAATCAAAAAGCCTGGCAACGCTCACGAAGAATACTGCACGACGTAAGCTAGATTCTGATTCTGGTCGGGCGGCAAGTTAACCTTGTTGACCTTGCAAAACCGCGCCAGCGGTAGCCAAAGAGCGTCTCCTCTTTTGAAACGGGAAATCATTAAATCACGTCTCTCCCATGGTAAGGCGAGAGGGAATTTCAGATTTTTACTGACTAAAACCTCCCGTTCTATCTCCCTCTTAAAGGTCGCGGTACCTTATTGCGGTTGCCCCTTGCCGTGTAGGGCCCCATAATGTCAATATCCTGGCGATAGAAAATATCGCCGGATCCTAAACAGGTACCGAAGCTTCTGTGTCCGGAAAGCACCTGCCTCAGGCGAAAGGTGCGGATGCCATGGCATCTCTAGCCACTCAAAGACGGCTGCTATAAGAGAGAGCGTCTCCTACGATGACAAGCCATACAGGATCTAATATTCTCATTTTCTTTCTTCCAGTAATGTTCCCGAAGCCATGGTATTATCAGTAGTCGGAAACAAAAGCGACCTTGAAGATTTAAGAGCGGTCCAGTCGAGCGAAGCGGCACAATTCGCAGCCTCCATTGGAGCGCAGTACTGTGAAACTTCAGCGTTACATGATCAGGTAGATATCATAATATTTTGGATACTGTTAGTGCAGTAACATTATCAGCCTATTAGTACTGCTGAGCAAAGACCTCTTCTCACACGGAGAAGGTTTGAGCATTATTCACCACGCTCGCTCAAAGCGGATTGGCGATTTCAAACTTGCAATTAGAAATTATTAGTCCAGGAAATGATCATAGAAATGTCTAAATAATCATAGAAAGTACATTAATATAACTTGGAAAAAGTCACATTGATGCTTGCCAAGTTTCGAACCCACAGGGTTAGGAACGCGACATTTGATATTTTAGTGCGGTTAGCCTTACTCAGAAGTGGATACTGCTAGCCCTACCTAAAGGATATGTGTGAAAGAGCCATGCATTGGCATGAATGGGCCGGCTCGACCGGAGTGATACCACGGTCTCACCGTCACATATCAGGATCGACTAAATGATGTAACAAAGAAATGTATTGTAAAACTGATTGAAAAAGAGTAACCATGGAGTTTCTTGCTCGTTCTTCTCCATAGGAATCTACACTTTGGAACGAGCAAATAGCTTCACTAGAGGACAGACGGACAGACTGACATGCTTAATTTTAAAACTCATGTTATATACTTTTTTCCTTTTTTGCTTGCTTGACGTTCAAAAGTGCCTACTGTGGTCTAATTGAAATAAATGATTTTTGACTTTTGACTTTGACTTTTGACCGAAAACAGGATTACAAAAACCACAACGTTGTGTTGCGCTGTGTAAGATAGATTTCCGGTAAAGTCGACAAACGACTGTTTTGTCAATTACCTGATGGTAGGCGTAAGTTTACAAGTGCGTTGCCGGCTTCTTGTAAGTGATTAGGTATTTACGGATTGAGGATCGATTGGGCCTCCCGTAACCACACTCATACGGCGAAACACAACGTAATTGTAGCTTTACGCCGGTTTCCTGTGAGGCCGTTGTATCACTCCGGTCGAGCCGACCCATTCGTGCCGAAGCATGGCTCTCTCAAATCCACTTTTAACTCCCCAACTTCTTGGTGTTATTGGACTCCATGAGCAGTGCAGATTGCTTACCATCAGGTATTCTGCTCTTGAAGTTTAATTCCCTATAATATGGTTGAGTTGGGCGATGCTGGTGTACGTGTCATGTTCGTGAACAAGCGCCGTCAGTTGGGATTGGTCAGCTCCAGACTGTCTATTGTCCTTAAGGTTACTTTATTTTTATATTTGAATAAATATTAGTGTTACACTGTTCTCTCATAATTGAACCAACTGTTTGTAAAAGGAATCTGTATGTGAAACTAATTTAAAAAGAGTAACCATGGAGTTTCTTGCTCGTTCTTCTCCATCGGAATCTACACTTTGGAACGAGCAAATAGCTTCACTAAGAGGACTGACCGACAGACTGACACGCTTAATTTTAAAGCTCATATTATATACTTTTTTCCTTTTTTGCTTGCTTGACGTTCAAAAGTGCCTACTGTGGTCTAATTGAAATAAATGATTTTTGACTTTTTTTTTTTTTAACTTGATCAAAAAAATTAAAATACCTACTGTTTTTTTTTTTAATTTCCACAGCAAGGTATCGACGAAGTGTTCCTGAACACGGCGGCGGCTTTACTGAAGCTGTCTAATTCTAACCTGGTGTCATCGCTGAGATCCTACGACTCGGCCGATGTAGACCCTGATAAAATTCCTACAGGTATGTTACAGTAAAAAAAATCTATGATCACTACATGGTATAAAATAAAGTCGCTTTCTCTGTCCCTATATCCCTATGAAACAATGAATTTATTTTTGCAAATAGGCCATAAAACGGCACTCTTACACGTCAAATTATATGTGAAAAACTAGATGAAGCCGGCATTTCCTATCTGACTACTCTGAGAAGCCGAAACAAACTCAGAGGTCAGTCTCTTATCAAGTCCAGACAATGTGAAAATAACATAATGTGAGAGAACCGTGCAAGTTCATTCTGTAATGGTCTTTTGATGAAAGAACCACACCAGTTTAAGTGGACCCGTTCTGAAAAAAAGCACGTACCTATGTATGCTTAAATCTTTAAAACTACGCAACGGATTTTGCGCGGTTTTTTTAATAGAAAAGATTGGCGGATTGGGGCGGATCGCTAGTCTATATTCTATCATTTTAATCGAAAAATGTATTATGTCGATTAACATTATATTTTTAAAAGAGTAACAATTGAGTTTCTCTCGTTCTTCTCCATTCGAATCTACATTTTGGAACGAGCACCTAGCTTCACTGACGAACAGACTGACGGACTACTATTCTATTTTTACGATTCAAAAGCAATTTGACAAGTTTTTTTTAATACGTTCCCCCACAGCATTTTTCAATGTAGTATGTGCGTTCACAAACACACAATTTCACATACACATCATACCCAGACCCAAAACCACAACCTGTGAATTATATAGTGTTGTTACGTTCGGGAATCGAACCTACAACACGTTGCACAACAGCCAATCAACGTTAACTAAACAATCAATGAATAGATCTTAATAAATTTTTCAGGTACCCCGACTGAAGAAGCCGCTACTCACACGGGCAAGGTTGAGCTTCCAGCTTGGAGTATAGACAGCATAGCACATGGGGATGTTCAGAAGAACATGTGCTGCTGACGTCATCCCCCATAGGGGGGTAGGCAGAGCTCACAAGATCACGGCACAATCACCTTCTAAATATTAACAAGTTAACTTAAAGTGTGGGAGAGCCATGCTTCGGCACGAATGGGTTGGCTCGATCGGAGTGATACCACGGACTCACAGAAAACCGCCGTAAATCAACCACAGCGTTGTGTTTCGCCGTGTGAGTGAGGTTACAGGAGGCCCAATCCCTCCCCTTCCCCCCGTCCCCCCATCCTTTCCCAATCTTTAAATGCTCAAGACCCTTATCTCTTAAAGGCCGGCCACGCACTCGTAACTCTTTTTGTGTTGTATGTCCATGGGTGTCGCTGATTGCTTACCGTCAGGTAATCGGTCTGCTAGTTTTCCGACCTATGACATGAAAAAATCGTGTTATAAAACCTTTTTTAAATCGATTTTTTATAAAATGGCAACATTGTTTGCAAACGCCATTATCATTTGACTGACAAGCTGACAATATTTTGTCAGTTAAAATAATGTCACGTCACGTATTTAGGCGGATTTGTTAAAAGTGCAAACATTGTTTTATAGAAAAGAAAAACAAATATGTATTAGCTAGCTGTCTTTACAAGAAATACGAGACAAGAAAACCTTGTTAGTTCACAATGATTATTTAGAAGTTAGATTCAACAATAACATCTATATTTAATATATTTGTTATAATAAATACAACATAAAATAGTTCATTCAAGGATGTTTTTCAAAGGTATTAAGTTCACGATACGAAGGATTTATATACCTGTTACTGTGTACAAGAAGCAAAGAGATTATTTAGAATGAGGTCTACATACGTACCTTATTTTTGAAGTTGGGTAAGTCCTCTAAGTATAATATTTTTCTCTCGCGCGGTTTCACTCGCTGCTCGCCTCCATTACATCGTATCGTGATGTTTTATAGCCTACTAGCTTTTGCACGCGACTTCGTTCGCGTGAAATAGCGACTTCCTGCTAATTTTTGGTATAAGAACTATCCTATGTCCTTTCTCGAGTTTCAAACTATGTTTAATAAGCAAATTCTTTATTCATATAAAAGTGGTACATCAAATTCGTAGGATCCCCTAACACCTGCACTAGTGAATACTGTGTTACAGGTTTTAGTGTCTTCCCCTGTGTATGCTGACATTATTGTAAATCTGTATTAAAATAGAATAAACAAGGAAAACAAAGATAATAAGTTCAGTCGTTCAGGTGTCAAGAAAGATAGAAAGACAGAGTTACTTTCGCTTTTATAATATTAGTTTGGATTTGGATTGTGTTATACTTTATATATTACATTACACATTATAATTAAACGAGCAGACGACCTGATGGTAAGCAATTAGCTCGGCCATGGACCCCCGCAACAGCAAAGGAGTTATGAGTATGTTGACAGCATTTCGGTTATGACAGTTTAAGATATTAGGGATAGTAGCCCAATCCTTGGGTCCCCATTAACTACATTAACAATGTCAAACACAACGCTGTGGTTCTTTGACTTCTATTTTCTGTGAGGCCGTGGCATAACTCCGGTGAGGGTAATCTACTTACTTAGCCCTTTTAAGCGTAATATGACGAAAATAAAGGCACTTGTTAAATTAATAGGTCTGTATTATATTACAGTAAGAAATAATTATAATAAATTTTATACATTTTATTACTTAAAAAGACACTTTAAGTATATAGTAAAGTAGGAAAGAAATTTGAGTTAATGTGGCTCGGGTTTCCACACAAACTTTTAAGTTAAAAAGATTGGAAATTACTAAACCGATTTTAATTATACCTCGTACTCATAATTGGGTAGTTTCCTAGGTCAAAAATAAATTATTTCCATGTTTCAAATACAATAAAATAACTATACTTTTGTTCATTGATACACTGAATTATACATATTTTTAGATTTTTTTTAAGAAATAAGTAAACTATTTATCCAAAATAATTATGACGTCATAACTCAGATTTTCATACAAATTTATCGTTTGAAAAGTATCGTTTTTGACATTTGGATAAAAGTATTGAATTTGACTAGTTGGAAACTACCGTATTATGTAGGTATATCAAGGTCTAAAAAGTACAATAAGTACATTTTTTAACAAAGAGTTGTTTTTTTTATTGAAATTTCATTAAACTTATTTCAGTAGTTTCCGAGATTTTGGCCTTAAAAGTTGGTTTGTAAACCATTGAAACCCTCTTTAAATACAATACACTGAATAACTTGTGTATTATCAACCTTTCTGGAATGTTTTATATGTTAAGGATAACTCATAAATGTTAATAATATTACAAATCACATAACAAGGAAATATTTTACAAAATAAATTTATTATATAGGCCATAAAACTGCACTTTTACACATCAAATTATATGTAAAAAACTAGATTAAGTCGGCATTTCTTATCTGAATACTCTCAGAAGGAATGCCGAAACAAACTCAGACAGAACTCAAAGGTATATATAATCGACTTCTTATAATCGTAAAGGATCTTTAAATACTTGATTATAACTCAATTGACTTTAAAAATATTGTTGACTAGTTGATTATTTATTGCGGTACCTATCTACATACAAACAGCAATATACAAAATAGCTAGAAACATTGTAAAAACATATCTATCCCAGAAATTCCTTAAAAATCTAATTGTAAATATATGTATATCATCGAAAATATTCTTGCCGCATAAAAAAAAATTACTTAAATAACTTGTCTTGCCAGATATAAAAATTATAAAATGCTCAATTATATTTTTAATTAAGTATTATGTTTTAATACGTGTTTAAATAAATTATTTAAATAACAGGGTATTTTATATTCATTTAAAAATGTATTGAAATTATTTATAAGGCTTTTTTTTTAATTTGGGATACTGCACAGTTACTTATGCCGTGGACAGGCGACCTGATAAAGGTCAAACAGCTGCTGGATGCAGATCTCTGCCAAATAACCAATTTAGAAGTCTTTGGAGGAGGCCTATGTGAGGTCTTGTGGCTCCTTTGGTGATGGTAAAGTGTAAGAGAGCCATGCTTCGGCACGAATGGGTGGGCTCGACCGTATTGATACCACGGCCTCACAGAAAACCGGCGTGAAACAACCACAGCGTTGTGTTTCGCCGTGTGAGTGTGGTTACCGGAGACCCAATCCGTTCCACTTATCCCCAAAAGGCCGGCAACGCACTTGTTACTCCTCTGGTGTTGTCGTCCATGGGCATCGTGTGAATTAATATTTTGTAATATGTCCTTATAGACTGACAGACGTAATAGATGTTTCCTCATCATAACATTACATATTTTGATATTTTAAAAACATTAAATAGGTACATGCAATATTCTAAAAATAATATATTATTTTCCTTCCTCAATCAAAAACTTCCTATGATGTACCTAATTAAGATGAATCTAAAATTTCAATATTTATTATTAACAATCAAAATATTAGGTACCTACAACAATACAGTTACATAAACCAATGTTTTTTTAAGACACAATTTCTTGTACACCACATAGTTACATAGGATAACTAACAAAATTTTGTACTTACCTACATTTAATTTTTTAATTTCACTTCATAAAATTATTAATTCGTCTTGTTCGTCACTAGATGGAGCTAAACTAGCAAAAGGTCAGTGTTTCCAATTACTTTAGCAAACAAAAAAAAAGTCTAAAATTGTGACACTAGTTTATCCCTTGTGAGACAAAAAAGTCAAGAATGAACATTGTCCACACTGACGCCATCTAAAGCAAAAAGAAATAGAATTGAATAATCAAAACAAAATATTTTCAAAACTGTTTTTTTTTCAATTGTTGCTGTATTGAGTAAGATGTTCACTATCGAACTTAGGCCTCCCCGAATGACTTGAAGAACTTGTAATGTCTGAAATCGGCAACAATAATAAGAAGATGGGCCTCTAGCATAGCTTGAAAGTAGTCGAGTAGTAGAAAACATATTAATTAATTTAGTTATTCTCGCGAAAGTTATAATAACAATAATTATTTTTGTGTATAGGATTTGTGTATTCTAATCACTAAAATTAAAAATAACGACTTCTCACGAGAATTAACTGAGAAAAGCTCGACTAGTTTCAAGTCACGACGGGACTCTTATTCATGAACAGACTCACTGAGTCGGCTGAAGCGACCAAGTAATTCGTTATTTTTAATAAACAATTATTGTTATAAATTATAAAAATGTTAATAATGGCTCTTCAATCTTGTATATAAATAATATTTTTGATAATATTTGACATTTTACCTAATAACTTTAATGTTAAACACGAATTTGTAATTAATTCTTGAATGAAGGCTACCGTTTTTTGTGCTCGTCAGATGGCGCTCATGTAGCTTTAGGTCCTTCTTGGTTTAAGTCAATTATCAAATTGCCTTTTTTAATTAGGTACACTAGGATATTATCTATTTAACAAAAAAGACTTAAATCTACATTAGTGCCATCTAGCGAGTCCAATAACGTAAGCTCTCATCATTTTATTTTAAGATTATTAAATAAATGAATTTATTCATAACGTTTTGTTGTTGAGTTTTATTTTTGTCTTATTTTGTGTATTTAAGTACCTATACAATTAACAATTACAATACCTACTACATTTTCCATGGTGTTGGGTGTCTGGGCTTCTCCCAGTTGTACAGTCTCTTCTGTGCCTTTTAAGGCTTAAGTCATTCTGTCTCCTGCGTTAAATTTACCGAGGGAAGCGGAAACCATTTCGTATTTCTCCTTCTCCTCAAATAAGATCTTCAGATTTATTTCGTTGCGGGATCCAAGACAGTCATTCATGTCCCCGGACTTCAGTGTTCCGGTGTTTTCGTGGTTGTATCTACAGTAGATCCTGGCTTACAGGAGTTGCAGCGGTTTGAGAGGTTGCGATGGGCTTGTCCCAATAAAAAAAGAAAGTATCCTATTGAAAGTATATTATCTTAATCTATATTATAAAAAATATATTTAATTTCTTTCAGACTCGTTCCGGGACTCTTCGAAAAGTGTCTTCGTAATCGTCAATTGTTGTTTAGTTGTCATTGATATTGTAAATAAACCGTTCTGAATGCCCTACGATGTATACCAACATCTGTTGTTTTTTTACATATAAATAATAACAATGAATAAATAAAAATGTAAATATTATTAACTGTGTTCTTACTTTTGACATTCAATAAATAAAAAATATAAAATCGTCTTATTTTTTACCCATTCTAAAACAGCAATTAAGTATTAGGTAACAACAAAATATTTAGCATCTAAATTTCAATCTCATCATGAAACTACAGAATCTCTTTGCAAGGGGAAAAATCAACTAATATCTTCTCTCGCCCAGGGTGATGCGGGAGGGAGTATCACTCTTACTAACTAAAAACACCCCCGTTCCTTCTCCTGCTTTAGGCCGAGGCCGCGGTGCCTTATTGCGCTTACCCCGCAACCCAGGGCCGGATTAGCCACGTAACAAGAGTAGCAAATGCTACGGGCCCCGCGCTCAAATAGGTATTTTGTAATTACACCACTTCAATAGCTAGACCTATGTAGAAAATGTTTTGTTTACAAAACTACTACCAAACTACAAGTAATTTGATTTTTTTTAACGAAATAAACAATAAAAGACAAATAGTCGGTATTTTGTATGTGTAAGAAAAGGAATAATTGGCGGGCGAACTGCGCGCACGGCTATTTCCGCCTCACCTCTAGGTAGGTATAAAATCTATCACGAAAAACGTTGGTATCAAAATGAACAACAGTAATTTGAAATTGTACCACATCTTTTAAATTGAGCGCTAGCCACACACAAGTTATGTGTTGTACTACTAGCACAGCACTAAACACAAGTTGGCAACACTGCAAAACCATTTGGGGAATTCCCTGATATTATCATCGATCGAACTAGCCGTAACTCGAACAAATAAATTAGGATTCTGTTGAGTATCAAACAATAAGAAATTGATACTTATTCACTTTCCTTTGACTCAATATAAAAAACTACTAAGCACTTTTTTGAACTATTTATGAGAAAAGTTGTCTTGCATTGCTTCAAGTACTGTTTTCGTGATTGACGTAGCGCTGTGTGCAATTCATTCAATTATCTTTTTACCGACTTCGAAAAAGGAGGGGGTATGTTCGACTGATTGCCGATTTTCGATTTGACCGAGCATGGCTCTCTCACACTTAAAAAACCTTGAAATTATCCTTGCTTGCTCTGCCAAGTGAATCATCCAAGTCATACCAAACAGCAACAGTATTAGAAACATATTGATCGGTGCCTCCTAATCATCAAACTAACAATAGCTATATAGGTAAAGATTACACTATTTTGGTTTTGCTTGGCACCGAATTCAAAATTATAAAATGGTTATTAATATTATTTTCTATTTAACTAAGTGAAAACATGTATTAATTTCGACAAAGAAAAAATATTTTTTGCTTTTTAGCTTACTTTTTGAAGTCGGAATATTTTTGTTAAAAATTATTTATTTCACAATCGTCTGATCAAGACCTTAATACGGGATACGCCCTTTATGAACCATTATATGGCTAGGTCCAAGTAATGCGATCCTAATTTTCAGATATACGAGGCAAGAGCCAAAGATTTGGTTAACTGTGAAGAATCCCAGAAACAGACATCACGACGAATCGAGCGAAATACAAAGTACGACCTTTTCAGCGGCTCTAATACACTCGACGACGAATTTGAGATGTTTGTTGTCATAATTGATAACGTACTATCTGCTATAACTAAACGTATGTAAAATTACTAGTGTTTTTGAAGTATTTCGACTGTGATTTTATATCAACAGAAGAGATTTTGAAAAAATCGTCAAAGATGTACAGTGCTTACAAAGATGATTTGGAGAACGGCGAATTAGTGCAGTTCGTAGAGTTGCTGAAAACAGATGTAGCTACTGTAATTGACAGCAAGAAACAGGAGCCTCTGGAACTGCAATTTTATAAGCTTTTATTAAATAATTCTTTAGAATCGTGTTTCCCAAATTTAGAAATTGCCTTGCGTATTTACTTATCTCTCATGATCACTAACTGCAGTGGCGAAGGTTCTTTGTCATCGTTGAAACGATTAAAAAATGAATTAAGGAACACTATGGGCCAAGAACGTCTTAAACGTCTCACGTTGTAGAATATAGAGCATGACTTGCTTAAAAAAGTCGATATTGAAAGTGTAATCGCTAAATTTGTTACAGTTTTGTTTTATTTAATACCCTTTTGAGAACCGTTAGCAAATCAAGGGCCCCTTGACAGAATTTGCTACAGGCCCCGCGCTGGCTTAATCCGGCACTGCCGCAACCCCGGCTGAAACTACAGAGCGCCTGCTTCTAAAGTATTGAATCAAGTTCACTCAAAGCTCATCATCATCAGCCCCTAAGTGCCCACGGGTGAGCAAAGACCTCTTCTCACACGGAGAAGGTTTGAGCATTCACCACCACGCTTGCTCATGCGGGTTGGCGATTCCAAACTTATAATTAGAAATTATAGGTTTCCTCACGATGTTTTCCTTCACCGTATGTCAGAGGTGTCTAAATAATCATAGAAAGTACCTACATATAACTCGGAAAAAGTCACATTGGTACTTGCCAGATTTCGAACCCACATCGTGCTCCGTACCTAACACCTCAGGCCCACCACGACATTTTTTTTTAAAGCTGAAGAAATATGTAGGTAAGTATCGTAGTAGGAAATACAATAATAATATTATTAGCCCTGTTCGGTGCCATCTGCCTACATATTTGTGCTTCAGGGCGGGTCCGTTTCTCTGCAGCTGACCGTACCTACTAGCCAGGGTTGCGGGGTAAGCGCAATGTGGCACTGCAGCTTCGGCCTAAAACAGGTGAAGAAACGGGGGGGTTTTTAGTCATTAAGAGTCTGACACTCTCTCTCGCCGCCCTGGGCGGGAGAAGTCATTTGATGATTTTCCCCTGACAAAAAAATATGTCTTATACTATTTGTGTATAAATGGTGTTGTAAATAAAGTATTTTCTACTTACCAACGTAATGTTTTATGTTATACGATCAAACGGATTACCTGATGGTAAGCAATCAGCGACACCTATGGACACTAGTTTTACCAAATTGGCAAGTGCGTTGCTTGCGTTTTAAGGGTCGGTTAACGCTGCGCTTCCACTGACTTGCAGATTTAGGTAAAGTACAGAGTATTTAAAGCTGAATCCTACTAATACTTATAATAATATACTAATACTTATAATATACTTATTATAAAGTAATGTGAAAGTTTATGAGAATGTGTCTATAACCTATTTTTTTTATATTGTATAAGTCGGCAAACGAGCAGACGGATTACCTGATGGTAAGCAATCGTTGCCGGCCTTTTGGGGATGGGGGTTGCGCGTGCGTTCGCGCAGCGGAATGTTGTTGAATTTAAAGATTTTAATTATGCAGATATTTAGTGTATGACGTCGTATAATTGTGTATGGTAAAAAAAAATTTGTGCACGCAACCATTGTGGAGAAATTCACCAAAAACTGATTCCGCTGGGCGAACGTTGTCCTGGCGGAACTTTTTTTAATCCATAGACTTTAGAAGAAAAGAGATGTATCCAAAAATTAGTGTGTAATTGTGTATGTATGAATAAAACTAGTGCATGCATAAACTTCGGAGAAATTCAAGTTTCCGCTACGCGAACGTTTGGCCATTAGCTAGTTTTCATATAAAGCGCTTACATAGAGAGCTGTAGATTTTTACACACGTTGTTTTGAATTTGTTTATATTTGTTTAAAAAACAGATTTAGAAAAAATCGTAGGGTTTACAAGATAAAAATATAAACGTAAAATACGCTTATCAGGTCTTAGTTCTTAAAGTATGCACTTTGGGGTCTAGATTTTCACGTTTATACAAACCTTGTAAGTGTCTGCAACATGTTGCCAAGTATCAATGATGTTCCGTAAGTAATTAAATAGTTATAGGACAATTACGACAAATTTACCATGAATAGATCACTCTTTACAAAGCAGTCAAATATCACGACTTTCTAAATGAATTGCATGATAAAATGTATGCCAGTAATTAGTGTATTCATTCAACTATTCACATGCAAAATTTCATGTCATTAAATTCAGTAATTAAAGAAAAACAATTATAATACTGACGAAGCATCGAAAACCTACATAACCCGACCAAGTTCGGATGGCTACAAAAAAGCGGCCGTGCCATATATCTAAGACACGTTCTTAACTTTTCAATATAGCATTTATTAATATGGTACAGTATCGTACACAAGCGTTAGGAAAAAATAAAACAATTTTATTTCTTGAATGAAAAATATTTTTTTAATAATAACGCTACTATCTACGATAAAAACAAATCTTCAATTAACAAGTAGGTACTTCTCTATTTAAATCCGCGTACAAAAATATTTTTAATTACATATAATACTTAATTATTTAATAATAATAACGTTAACAAACGCTTGCAATGAAAGCAATAGACTTAAATGTGTTTTAACTAAAATAGATTATGAACTAGCTTTTTGAAACTTAGGGTAAGTATAATACTTCGAGCTTCAAAAAAAAAATCACATCACATAACTAACCTATTCAGTTGTTTAGATTTGATCAACATTAAATAAGTGCTTAAAAACTAAAACATTGGTATAAAAAAGGTATTTTCAAGAAAATATTCTTAAATGAGTAGCAAATACTGTAAACAACCTTAATATTTCTAAATAGGTATACCTAATGTTTTCTAGTTTCAATAATAAAATCACAGATTAACAATCACAGATCACATAATTAGACAATTTAGTTGTTTAGGTTTGAGAGTCTGCCTAATATAAAAATAAATCAACATTTAATAAAAGTACTTATAAAATAAAACATTGGTATAAAAAAGGTTTTTTCAATTCAATACCAATTATTAAATTAGTAGCAAATACTAAAAATAACCTTAACATTTTTAAGTACAATGTACCTACTCTAGCTTAATTTAAAAAAATCACAGATCACATAACTAGACTATTCAGTTGTATAAATTATTGCATGAGGCATCATATTTTTGGAACTATTTTGAATTTTGCTACATAAATCATCGTAACACTGAAATGATTTATTAGTGTACGGGGGTCTCAAACAATGCGCCTTGTAATGAAAGAAGAAAGAAAGAAAAAGTATTTATTCGCGTCTTCATCGCGTAATGACCAATACCTGGCATTTGTAAAGGTGGAACATATTCAATAATAGCCAATATTAAAAATAGCTTATTATTTATTTCAATATTACGAGGTATGTCCTCTAGATTTATGTAGAAATTATGTAGTTCAAAGATAATCAAATCATTTAAATCATATTTAAAATCGACAGTGCCTATTCCACAAAAATTACAAACAGGAGGATTGCCACTCCTCATACCAGATTCTACAGACTCTTGCAATTTGGCAATGCCTTTACACTTGATGATGAGTTTAAAGGTAGGTATTTACATTTAAAATTGCTGTTATTTACGGAAACAAGGCATTCTATATTTGAACAACATTTTTTTCTGTTTCCAGAAAAGTATAGCAAACAGATGTCTTCAATAATTTTTGTGACATTGCACGCACAATCTATAATTTGGCACTGTGTTGCATCGAGTGTATTGTTAACAAACAATGGATTTAGTAAAATGTCTCGTTTTGCGTACAACGTTTTGCAATTCCTTTTCGTATTAGATAATTGGATAAAAAAACGAGTGAATGAATCTTTGCTAATCAAGGGATCTATATCTATAAAATGACGGAAAGAGATACGGTCAGTATATGCGACTGCGAAAGCTTGAGCCACTGCGTCAAATGCACAGGTATTAGTCACTACATTTTTGATGTCTTTCGATATTGATACGTTACCATTTTGTAAGATGTATGGAGGCTTCGACGAGATAGTTTTTTTGTTGGGAATAACTAGACCTCTCCAGTTTTCTATTTCAACAGGATAGTCTTGAAAAATGGATTGCTCCTCGAAATCACCTATAATTTTTGTCTGTTTAACTTGATTAAAATTCATATGTTCATTCTTATTCTTAATTATGTTAGTAGCAGTTTCAGAATATTTAGCTTTATTTAATTTGATCATCCCATTAAGGTAAGTGTAATGTTGTATTAAAAATTCGTCTAAACGTATTCGCTCCTGCTTTGTGTTGAAATATATGTTCTTTATATCTTTGAAATGATTTTCAACATTTGAGCTACTTCCAACAATTCTAACATTACGAAAATACTTATCCATAACGCCACTCCACATTGGTAACTTTCTCAATAGTCTTTTTAGTGTATCATTTATTTCTGGTAAATAATATTCGTTTTTATGTTCGTTCGGGTCAATTAACATTAAATACAATTTTTCGGTTTCTAGAATATTGTCATAATATTGAATGAGTGGGTTTGTACCTGCATTGTTGGTGTCAATCTTTTCATCGGGTAATACAGAACATACTGACTCATCATCGTTACAGTTATCTAAATCTTGGATATCAACCTTATACTCGCTTATGTTCGCTAAAGACGCTACAGCTTGATCATATTTCTTGCATGATTGCCCATCCAAATCTAGGGTTACATATTCATGTAAAGATACAGTAACGATATCTTTGATTACTGCATTATCTTTGATTTAAGCAAGTGAATTTTTTTATACAATTTATATAGAAGTTTTTACATTTTTCTGTCGTTTTTTCGAAACAGCTTTGTTTGTATAATTTTTTGAAAAAATGAGACTTATCCAATCTAATGTAACATGCTGGTACAGAATTATGTTCACTTTCTAATATCGAAAAACACTGCGCCAAATATTTGTTTGTGTCGGTGTTTAAAAAACTGCGACATATTGCTCCTAATAGTGCTGACGAATCATCACTTATAATTTCATTCGGTGGATTACGGTTACGCGCCCACGTACTTAACCACGTGGCTATGGTTTCAGTAATATGGGACTGGGACGCCATATAACATAAAGGTATAGTTGTGTTTGCAGTGTATGCCACAACGGCATACAAAAAGGTATGTTTGGGTTCCTTAGTTCTTAAATTATCGTTAACATTTGGCGGTGCAATTACTTGAAAAATTGAACCGGTTGCATCAATAGATAAAACGATATGTGTATTTTTTAATACTTCATCATAATATTTACCTTGTT